AAGTCTGCAAGTTAAATGCGGTAATCGGGGACGCCACAACGAAACTCGTCGCAACAGACGGAATATTAAAAAATAAAGATTCCGCGCAGTCGCGAGCGAACGCGCTCAAGCGTGAAAACAAACAAACGCGCCGACCGGCGTAGTCGACGCAAAAAAATAAAAAAAAAACGATCCGCCGCTGCAACGCCCAGAGTTTGCCAAAATAGCTTATCTGTGAGTATATATCCATGCAATCATTATCAAACGCATGGGGAAAGATTTCGGAAAAAATTCATGTATGCGCTTTCTGCAATCAAAAAAAAAAAAAAAACTGGACGAGTTTCAATCTTCGGGCGCAATATACGTAAGAAACTGCGCGCACGAGGAAACGCAGATGTTTAAATATAAACGCTTCGAAATGTAAATCGATTCAACTCGGCTACAGTTGGGTTCGCATTTTTTACAATGGTATTATCATCGAGGGCAATTTTTTCAATTGTATTGACTACGATTGATGCTCGGCCGAGTTTTTTTCGATTTTTCTCCTGAAATTTTTTATCATTTTCGCGAGAGTCGAATTATGTATTCGATTGCGCAAGAATCATACGTGCCAAAAGTAAAATCTTTGCTTGTTTCAGAGGAGATACGCATGTATTTTAAACATGTGCGCCATCATATTACCTGTAAATGCGTATTATTTTCCGTTTTTTTTTGTTTTTTGTTTTCACGCACGAGTCCTTCGGTAGGGGTCGCGTTTCATGCGAGATCTGCTTTGATCGTAGGTAACATAACACTTGAAGCAAAGAGAGTACGTAAGTACGCGCACCCCCTATTTTCACGCCTCAAAATTGTTCTCTCTCTCTCTCTCTCTCTCTTTCTCTTCCTCAAGGTAAGACACAATACTACGTTCTCACTTATTTTTTGCGCTCGTGCGCATCGTATCTCTCGTGTAATATACAAAAAATGATGCTAAAAGTTAACACCAATCGATGTAAAACGTTATTATTTTAACATTGGGAATGCACATCGTGCGTGCGATCCAGACTTGGGAAAAATATGAAAAATAACATAAACACGTCGATCCCAAAATGATTGGGATTGTTATCTGGTGCTCGCGCGGCCACGGAGATTGGCGCACGAAAAAAAATTTCGTGAGTCAGCTAGGATAAACAAAGCCATTAATCACCAAATCAGCGTGAGGCGCTCGAGGAAATTTCCTCCTAAAAGCTCAAACAGATCGCGTGGCATCGTTGCGTTTTAGCGTCGCGTCTCTTTTTCGCTCGTTCGTGCAGTGTTAACCTCATTCAATACACACACGCATGTACACATACACAGACGACGATACGATTGTCGGGCCCGGTAAAAATATACTCTTTCGTTGCTAGGCCGCGTATAGCGATTTTATTTTGAATTCCTTCGGTACACTAACCTTTAAAGTTCTATTTTTAATCGAGAACGAATCGAATCTGCGCACAATATATATACGCCACGCATGCACACATGTACACTTTGTACGAGTTTGTCGTATTTTTTTCTCTCCCTTGACAATAAAAAAGAAAAAAAAATCACCTTCCATCGGTATAACTACGTTTTTCCTATACAACTATTCTGTATGTGAGTTTACTCTGAAAGCTTCTTCAAGCTTGGTAGAAAATATTATAGCCTCTTGTCTTGGAGCTTCTTTTTAAAAGCTTTCTTAAGTAGGTGAAAAAGATGTTCTTTTTCTTAAAAATAGAAATACACTAAATTGGTATGTGTAATGGCTGTAGAAACTCACTCACGTGTGTTTATAGTATTTGAAACTTTATTGAACTTTGAAGGTGGTGATTCAATCGGTGTCACCTGTTTCTACGGTCAAAATTAAATATCAGAATTAGTAATGGATAAAAAATAATCATCAAAAATTTTTCATTGCATAATTTTACATTTTTTGTTTCGTATACCTGATCATTTGCGAATTTCTAGGTATTGATTATTTTCAGACGTATAATATTTGCCTGCAGAGATTGCAAAAGTGAAATCTATTTCTGTTCGCTTTCGGGAGTCGAACGTCAAAATTATTGATTGGTCGAGAGCAGTGAGGCAACGAATTTCTATCTATTGATTGAAACGTATTCATAAACAATAAGGCTAAAAACATTTTTCACATACGTAACATTTTCTGATTCGTAATCGAAAGAAAACTGCATCTGGTAGCCACACAATGGCATGAAAAAAATGATAGCCAAATAGTAACTATACTATTACGTATTGGTTAGTTGTCATAATAATGCGCATTGAATATCGATTGCCACGGATGAATTTCTATTTCGTAATTAGCGTAATACGCGCAAAAGTCACGCGCCTAGACTCGGAGCTACGGAGCAGCAACAGTAGCAACAGCATACGAGCAGTGCACAGAGCGCAGTACCTAGTCTCTCTTTCTTATAGTATGTGAGCACATATATTATAGAGACGATGGCGAGAATGCATGTAGGCCAAGGCGACGCACGACGACGACGACGACTCCGAGTCAAGTTATAAGACTCGCTTAGATAGTCTAATCCAGACGAATATTAGATGCTTCGTCGCCGGCGACTAGTTCTATTATGCGCGCGCCAAGCGTATAAGGAGAATAATAATACGAAAGAAGCCGAGGGTCCCATTCGGTTGCCGGCGAACCGGCTCCGAGCGCAAACATTTTACATGCAGTTTCAGTTTGCTTTTGCCCAACCGATTCGAGCGCGTTCGCGGCTGTACTCGTAAATAGTTTGATTGATAGTGCAAAGAGTTTCGAGCTCTCCGATTGTTTTTCAAGTTTTCCTGCGAATAAAGCTCCGATGCTGCGCAAATGGGTGTATCGATGAATTTCGCGAAAAAAAAAGAAGATATGATAGCGAGTCGCCTCGAACGACAAACACACGTGCTATCTCGGCTCGCGAGAGACGCGCCGCTTTCAGATAAAAATTTCGACCGGGTGCATCATTTAAATCGCGATCGAGCCGACCATGTTTTTTTAGGACGAATGCGAATATTTGGTTTATGTATTATTGAAGCTGAGAGAAACGTCGGAGAAAAGCATTTTTTTTGGCTTTAAAAAAATAGACCGAGCGCGGCTACACGAATTGGCTGTCGAAAAATACCAGGAACATCAGCATTGAAAAGCAATTATCACATGACACGTTAAAAACGAATTGACGCAGAGACTATACACAGAGCGAAGAAGCTTTTTTCCAACCGCATGAGTGGACTTTTACCTCGGCGTTTTTTCCTCTCTCTCTCTCACTACTTCGTCCACGCACGTACATATTATATACATATAAACGCATCTGCATGCGTAAAACAACGAGTTGAAAAAAGTAAATGAAAAATGAAACGAAACCTGGTTACCTTCTTTCTTTCTCTTTTCACTCGCGCTACTGTGACGCAGCAGCGCGCCAAAGAGGACGAAAAAGACAAATTGCGCCAGCAATAATATAAATCGAATAAGAGCGAAAGAAAGAAAAAGATAAGAGCTGAAAAGAGGTGCATTATGTACATAAGCCGAAGGAAAAAAATGAGCTCGCATCGAGGCGTGATTCTCTTTTTTTTTTTCATTTTTCGATAAGGGGCCTTTCATTTCTTCGTCCGCGCGCGCGCGCGCTCAGTGCAAATCGGCACGTTCGTTTATAATACATTACTGTTATATACCGAATATTACATTAATATTTATGCAGTTGGCTTTCAAAGAAACGCTGATTTCGTGGCCGCAGTGTCTTTGCGTTGGGTAAATGCGCGAAATGAGAAAAAAAAAGAGATGATTTAAACGTCGAGGCGTCGAGCTGCTTCAAATTGCAATGGTATACACGTGCAAATGTTGCTCGCCGCGGGGACAATATTCTCTCTCAAGGCTGCGCACCGCCATCGATTCGAGGCAAGGTGGAAAAATTAAGCGCCGCAATGAAAACGAACACATTAATGTACGAAAGCTTGGGCTTATGCAAATATGGATCAGTAGGGTATATTGTACGCGTACTCTCTCTCTCTCTCTCTCTCACGCGCGGTTAAGTGCACACACGCACACATGTGCAATGTTTATACGCAGACACGTATACGCATAAAATACAGTTACTTTTATAAATCGCGGCGCCGAGCGCGAGACGCATTTTACTTTCACTCGATCGTGTTATTTTCGCGCGCGCAAAAAAGTCATAATTATCGCAGTCGATCGGACATTTAAACGGAGCTTTTTCAAGATTCGTCGTGTAGCGACAAAAAATAAGTAAATAAAATGCGGCCAATACTCGTTAAGTAGTTGCCGTTTATCGAGAGAATTTCAATGTATAGAGCTCGTGGAAAAAAGCCATCCTTTCGATTGAAAAATCGACTTTTTTCTTGCACGTCGAAGGAGCTATTGCGAAAATGACCGATCGAATTCATAAAGCTGTAATTTTTTCTTTTTTCTTCATATTCTCAGAGAGATTGTTTAAATACGTAGCGGAAACGCGAAGGCCGACGAGAATCGTGCAATTTACTATGCCAGTTCATTCACCTTAGAGTAGCCGTGTACTCGTCTGTGAGTGTGTGAGTGTGCACGCTTAGTGCATGCGAGGCCTCGAGTAGTTACTTATCTCGTATAAATACAACAATCGACGATCGAGCGCAAACGTACTAGTTTTTGGGTAAAAATCGTTTGTAGTAGCTCGAAAGAAGCCGTAGTACGTATAGGTGCAGGTAGCTCAGTTAAAAGTTCATTATCGCTTTTGCCTCGCAGCCAGGTAAGGCCGATAGAAGCAGCAGTTTCAGCCTCGTTCGTTTTGATTTGGCATACACACGCTACACGCAGAAGCACGACGAGCACGAGTACGCACGCACGTATAGGCTGACTTATTTAGGTAGTTGTGGCTCGCTCGTAATAGGTCAGCGCCGCCCACGCATCGCGCGGCGCCGTATACGTATATAGCCAAACGGCTTCAATCTAATAATCGATACCAGCTAGTATATTCGCACGCGAAGGTAGCTACGAAGCTACGTTGCTGTACGGACTATCGGCTAAATCATACCTGTGTTGTCGGAGAACGGAGCTTCGCAAGCTTCGAGTTTAAGGAGCAGTTGGAGCGCAGCTCGTGGCCCCGCGTCGCTGCTGGCTCTATTGCATAGAGAAGCGCCGAGGCAGCGACGACGATCCGTATGGCATATCGTTTCTCGGGCTGCGGCAAAAGTCAACAAACGAGCGAGCTGCTTCTGTTGTCTCGTATTCGTCGTCCGGGGGGGACGAGAGAGCTTTGCAAGCACACGCACACACTGCTCTCGCTGCTCCGCCGCCGCTACTAGAGAGTATGCGCACGTGGCTGTCCAGACTACTCCGCTGCTGCGCCACTGATAGTCACGACACACGGCACTGTGTATTGTACTCCAAAGAGCGAGAGAGAGAGAGAGAGAGAGAGAGAGAGAGAGAGACTGGGTCAAAGGTCACGCCCGCCACTGCTCGAGCTGCAGCGCATGGACTCGACCGACGACGGATGCACGCCACGCCACGGCGACTTTACGTTAACGTCGACCGACAGGGCCTTGACGTCGGGCTTCTGACCTGCTGCTATATATTTCCTTTTTTCCTATATATCGGATACGCCGCGCTGGCCGAGCTCTCGTGTATAGCCGAACCGCTAGAGCTTTTCCAGGCGCGCGCAAATCTTTGAACTCTTCCGATTTGGCTCTCGATCGGCGCCGAATGTTTAGCCGCTCGCGAGCAGCGTCTTCTATTCCGGGAAAGTCTCTATTCCCATCGGCGGCGAAGTGCACCGGCGCGAGCGTCGTTGTCGGACCCGCGTGCGTAAAATATCGTACTTGCACCAGAGACTTTTGCGTAGCGCGCACTGCGACCGGGATTATTTTATTCTTATCTGACTCTCTTCTCGCTTTCCTTTGCGAGAACTCGCTCGTTGCGCTGCGCCTCCAAAACTTTGCCCCTCTCTATTTGTCTCCTTTTTCACGATACAATATATTTTTTGCTAAACTCTGCGACTTGTGTCGGTAAATTATTATATTTGCCCGGTATATAAATGTCTTGCGAGGTCGATCGCGAGGCGTCGATCAACAAACTTATCTGCGGCACAGTTTAAGCTCACGCACACCGCTACATGTGCACAACTACCACGGCTATACTGCGAATATTATCAACGTTTAATAAATGCCAAAAGCAGCGGTGGTGGCGGCAATGCAACGTCGATAAGGTAATGTATATTATACGAAAAAAAAGAAAAGTCGGGTCGAAGCAGACCGATGCGTATGTAAGCTCGACTTTGTCGTGGCTTTCTGCTCTCTCGGTTGGTGTATATTTTTATATATGTAATATAAATATATATTATATATAGGTGTAGGTATATAAATCACACGCACATACACACGCACACACGCACCTCAGCAGGCCGGGTAAAAAGTTAGTGCGCGCTACAACGCGGTTAGCGCGCGACTGACTGACTGGCCGTGCGCGTATAATTCAAAGCGGCGCTGTGCTCCGAGTCTCGTTCTGTGCGAATATTTTGCGCGAGGAGAGAATATATGCGCGCGCCGCCGCCGCCACCGCCAGGCCGCAGCCGTCGCCGCCACTCGTGCAGCAGCAGCTATACCTACACAGCAGCCTGTGCTTGTGCTTGTGCAGCGCACGGCTCCCGAGCCCGAACGACTCGTACACTTACGTAGCGCGCGCCAGCGAAAACGAAACCGAAACTCTCTTTCTATATGTATACCCGAGAGGTCGAACTGCTGCTGCTGCTTCTAGATCGCAGCTCTCGCCTCGTCTCTCTTTTTCTCTCTCTCTCTCTCTCTCGGTCTCTCGGTCGTTCGGTCTCTCGCGCGCACAGTCTCGGCCTCATGCGCCTGTCTGACAATCTGCGCGCAAATATATACGTATGCCTCGTGTATGTGTACACTGCCTGCAAGTATGCGCGGTGGCGACGGTCTTTTCCAGCGGATTATATGGGATCCGCGCGCTTACCAGCTGGATTTTCATCAGATTTTCACGCATCGATCGTTGGGCAAAAAAAACTCTGGGGTGGTTGTTTCGATGTAAGGATGTCGTGCGTCATTCTTCCAGATATAGGATGCTTTATGACGCGCGCCGTCCAACAGAAATGTTTTCCATATCTTCTTATTTTTTTTTTTTTTGAAACCCGTTGATTCGCGAAAAAATTCTCAAAAGCGAGCATTTACCACTACACGTACATTCAAAACAATTAGTAAACAAATTTCCAGTAATTGGTGTTTTTTCGCTTTCATTAAAGAGCTTAAGACGATTACATCTTGCGCAAAGCTGTCAAAAAGAGAGATGCCTGTCAAAAGTGGCTACAATGAGTATCAAGAGTCATAATATCTTGTGACCCTTGGCAATCTTCATTTACCGATTCGCATGCAAACGTGCGCTACAATTGCGCAGATAATTCGAGAGCTGCGAATAATTTCGAATTTAGACCGACTCGAGAATCGTGTGCAGCACGTGAACACCACCACGTATATGTATGCTTTACGTGCCTGTAAAAGTGCACGGATTTTGCACCACCCTATAATATTATAATTTGGTTTATTTCGAGCAGGAAACACGTCAAAACCGAGCTTTTACTCGAAAAAAACTGATCCGATAAGAACCCTCTATCGTATCGATCGTTTTTTTTTTCGTTTCGTATATAGAAAAGATATTCTAGACTGGCCAAAGCAAAAGCAGGATAATCCGAGAATGACCCATTAAACGTATCACAATTATGAATCTGATAAAGTCGAGACGGAAGCTATAGACGGCATGAAAAATCACGGCTGAACCTTTGGTTTTTTCAAGCAAGTACGTCCTGTATACTTTTACGATTCGCTCAGCCGTTATACGATGGTCGAAGTAGGACGCGTCACAAGTAACGATTCGAAAGAAAAAGAAACACGAAAAGTACGCGACGAAGCCGCACGGTAAGTCGTAAGCGCGCACCCTCTCACAATGTATTCCAGCTACTTTTTCACGAAATTATGCTGGAGGGTTAGAAAAAAAAGGAAAGGAACGTTCGTAAGAGCAAAAAATAGTCGACGTATAGATAAAGTTTGGTGCCCATGCGACATACCTTGAGCTGCGAGTCGCGAGTGCGCAACATGTGGTCAGACCAGCGGCGGCAGCTGCAGTATATAAGTTTTATCTGAAACACAAGTACGAACACAAGGCAGGCATTTAATTGACACGACGAAAAATATTTGTACGATGTTTTGTCTCTGCGTTAGCGGCTCTTGGTCTTGGTATCAGCGCGCGCGACTCTGGCTCGCGATACGGCTACACGCACTACTGCCTACTGGCCGGCTATTCGGCCAAATTGCATAACGCGCCGTGCAGCGCAAACAGTAGAGCGCGAGAAAGGGAGCGAGGGAGAATAAACGATAAATAGATCATCAAAGAGCCTCTCGCAACGCAAACACATGCCGATCATAATAATTGCAGCGCGTCGATAGTCGCGCATAAAGCCAACGTACGTGTCAGCCAACTATATGGAGTATGTGCGCTTGTGTACGTACTGCGCCGAGTAAGTCTATCGATGGCGCAATCGAACTAGGAGTTTAGCGCGCAGCACCCGAGACTCGACGCAGAGCAATCGTATCTTGCTCCGACTTCTATATACATGTGTGTATGTGTGTGTGTGTTATTGTGCAGCTGAGAGAGAATGAGAGAGAATGAGAATGCGCCAGGCCGCCGCGATGTGATTTCTCGGCTCATTTCTTGTCGCGCCGCTTCCGTTACGCAACTCGAGTGCGTATTCGACACTGCGCGAGTCTCGTGCGCCAACTGCAATTGTGCTTTTCAAATATGACTGGGACTTGCGCCAAAGGGATGCTACTTTTCTTCCAAGCGTGGCACGGATGTCCCGGGCCAGCAGCGACTCATCGGCCGTTCGGAACTCGCGAGCTGCCGATTCATCGACTCCGATCGCGATCGCTACGATACACGCGCTTTGGAACCTGTCCAAGCGAATGACCCAAGACGCACCCACGGCCCCAGCGAGCGATCGATCGAATCACCAACTTGTTCGTGCCAAGTCTCGAGCTCGCCGCTCTCTTCTTTTACGCCGAATAGCGCGCGACAGTTTCTTCTTTGATTCTGTACTCGGCGATCCGATCCGCGCCCAGCTTTCGCCGCGTGCATTCAAAAGCACTTTTGTATGTACGCAGCTAGAACAGATCGTTGCACCAAAGCTCGCTGCGTCTTCTATTCTGCCTACGTAGCGCCGGGTATACACACCCTATTACGCGCACTGCTTTGCTGATTTTTTTTTTCTCCAGTTAAACGCATTCTCGACTGCGTCATCGACACAAAACCATATCGAATCTATCACACATCCTGCGATTAAGTTTCTCATGCCACCATCTTTGCACGGCTATTTGCAACTCTTGTAAGCATATGGAAGAAACTTATTGATTTTATGGTCTAACAAATAATATTTTAATAAGCATCCTATTTTAATTATAAATTCAATGTAAGTTCTTTTATTTATTAAAACATATTAAAATCAACTCTCAAACAAACCTGAATCTCGGTTCAAACAATTCGTAACGAGATCATCAAACACATATGATCGACACTTCGTCTTTGACTGTGATCTAAAATGAGCATGCGTACACTTGGACTTGAGTAGAGCATGCCAGTCTACGCACTGTTTTTAATTTTCAACATTGGACTTGAATTTTCTTGTATCTCCTGGCACAGACCTGTTACGTACAACTAGCTGAGATTGAAATGCATGATCTTTTTTAGCTCATTCTATAAACCATTATTTCACCTTCACTTTGCAAAATGATAATGTTTAAGAAACATACAATATTATAGAGGTGAAAAATGCCTCGAAAACAATTCACATCGATACCTGCAGGGTGTCTTTTGAGAAATATCTATTGGTGTACAATACATGATAACGAACGAAGCTCAATATTCAATAGAGGGTAAAAAACATTTTGTAAGATCGACCTTGATACGAGGCAAGGGTATATCAAGCTTGTACGGTAGAATGAAGTCGAATAAAACGGGAAAAAGTTTATCGATTTACTCAAAAACCTTTTCATGGGGGGAAAAAATTCGAAGGCTCATACTTGAAATTCTTGTTGCATTAACGAGAAGATCATTTTTCCACAAATATGTTTATAAAGAAAGATTATTGAATAAATTAAAAACAATCTGAATAGTGTGCATATATATTTATCATAATTCAAATAGTTCCTTAACTATAGTATTTTATAAAAGTATATATTATCGTCTATTATTATATAAAGGGAAATATCGAGGTTCGTATCGAAACTAATCGAAAAGTTTATCTAAAAACGTTTATCATTCCATGAATTCTCATGAATCGATATCATACAATAAAATACAATCAATATGCGGGCATGAAGTACTCGTTCGTAAATTTATAATTTTCATATAATTAATCAGTCATTGCACGTGTATCTTTTTCGCCGCAGTAAAAATCCCGAGTTTTATTGGATATATTTACGAGCGTAACTGAATTCATAAGAGGGAACTCGACTGTAAAAATGCACGTGCAACTAGCTAATGGGCAAAATAAAAAAAATTGTTACATCGAAGCTAAGCGTTGAGCTTGGGAAATGAATGGAATTGTCATCGATTCATGGGCATGGAAGCATTAACCCGCCAGGCGCTGCAGGCATACGGACGGCAGCAAACGAAGCGATGGAAAATATGAAAGATCAAAACGCACTCGATCTATACGTACAATTCTCGTATACGAAAAAAAAAGATAGAAGTGAACATTAAATACGGATTGGATGGGAAATAATCGTCGACACTTTCGTTTAACAAGAAGCATAGATTGATACTGTCAGTGCAGCGCATTATTATTGTCAATGGGAGCAGTGCATCGACGCGCAGTCGCGTACACATATAGCATGTATAAAGTTCGCGAAAACACAATACACAAGTGCGCTCGCAGGCAGTGAGTGCAGTAGCTACACACATATATGTACTCGCTTACCAATACGTGTACTCATGCATGTACCAGTGTATAAGTGCACGTTATATATACGCACACACGACGATGTGGCGGAGCACATAAAGCTTGTACCGAGAGCAATTGTATAATATAATATGCCCGCGCACATACTTAGGTCGTACACTGCGCTCCAAGTATATACTACTAGCGACCCAAATTCAGACCATGTATGTGTGAATATTTATAGAAGATAAAGATTTTAATCGTAATTTATACATTGAATTGTTTTCAACGCGGTGAATAATATTCGCAGACTTTACAGCATATTGCTCTTCGCCGGTACGTTTTTTTCTTATGAATATATAAAAATGGAGCTTTTATTTCAAGTCTCGTTTCGATTCAATTTGATC